ACCTATCCCGGCCGGCTGGAATAATTCCTGCCACCGAATGCCTTACCATGCCCTACTCCCTTCGCCCTTTTCTCCCTTTCCCTTTATGTAGTCCTTAATCTCATAATACCCCAGCTGTAAGCATTCCCTTTGTGTAAAGCATACCCCCTTCCCTACCAACAAGCACCTCACTTTCCATAATGCCACCCTCATCCCCATCAAAATCACCCACACTTCCCATTGCCTTTCTCCTTGTTTCACCAGTCCGTACACCGCGATCTCATAGGACACCCCCTGTGCCCACCCTATCGCCCTTGGAAACTTCCCTACTCTTCCCCATTCCCTTCTTGCAAACGCGCACTCCCAAAGAACGTGATGCACCTTTTCTTCCTTTGTACAGAACTCCCTCGGACATTCTGCCGATCTCACCAGCCTCCATCAGTATATTTCTCTGACTGATAACACGCGCCTAACTATACACCACGCTATTTCCCTGTGAAACCCTTTCCACTTTGCATCTTCTATTCCCCTCCACACCTCTCTCACCTGTTCCCATGTCAAATTCCCCACGTCCGTTAACCCATCTTCCTCCCTAATTGCGTTGAAAATTACCCTCGCCTTTTGTAATCCTTCCATCCCATTTCACCAAACCCTTTGCCCTGACGAATGCCACCAGCCTATCCACGTGCTGTGATGGTTTCCCTGCCCACATGCCTGTCTACCTTTCTCCAAATACCCCCCATGCCCTCAAAACTCTACCTCCCCAGTACTTTACCCATTTCCCCACTATTCCTTCCCCTCTCCGTGCCTCCCTGACCAATGCCGCTACCCTGTGCCCATATATGAACGTTTCCACCTCTGGAAAACCACATCCCCCTAGCTCCCCCCTCTTTATAAAGCTCCCTACGTGCTACCCTCTCTCCCTTACTTCCCCAGAAAAACACACGCAATTCCCTTTGTATCCTCCTCACTTGCCTCCACGATGGAGGGTATACCCACCCTATGAACAGCAGGATTGGTGAGATCACCAACTTGATTAGCTTTACCTTCCCCGTCTTTGACAAACCTCTCCATCCCCATATTCCCAGCACCTTTCTAACCCGTCCCCGCACTTCTCCCCACGCTGTTTCCCCTTTCCCATCTTTCTCAAAACATCCCTAATATTTTTTGTCCTCTCTCTACCACCTGCAACCCATATTCCTCCAGACCCTCCCAGTTCCCTATTCCCCATATCTTACTCTTCCCTCTATTTAATCTTGCTCCGGCTGCCCTTCCGTACTCTTCCATATGCTCTAGCACCCTCCTCACTGACCTTCTGTCCCTCACCAAAAATGTCACGTCATCCATATATAGCAGCGCTTTCACTTCTCCTCCCCCTGGTATCTGTATCCCCTGAATTTGGTTGTCCCATTTTATCTTCCTTCCTACTGCCTCTATGCCACACACAAAAAGCCCATTTGTAAACACTGATGGCCAGTCCCAACCCAGCACCCTTCACACTCAGCCTACTACCCCCCACCCCAAGGCCGCAGCCCCACTGTAGGGGGTGGGTGTGAGGGACAGGGTGAGGTACGAGTGGGGCCTGGGGGACCCCAAGCAGCCCCTTGCAGACTGGAACTCTGCAAGGGAAAAGCCAGTTGCCCACATGTTTCTCCTTTAAGGGAGAATCTATTTTTAAAGTTTGTTTGCAACCCTTTCATTTATTCTTAGACCCACTCTCAGGTCATGACCCACAGGTTGAGAAATGCTGTTCTAGACAAGTGTGGGAGGGAGTCAATTGACTTCATGGCTCATTGTGATCTACCTGATCCCGTCTCTTCATCCCACAGGTGTTAACAACCCTCTCTTTTTATTTAATGGTCTTGGTCCATTGATCAAGCTAGCCTTTTCTCTGCAACTCTGCTGTTAGCTGTTCCTACAGTTATGTTTGCTTTTACTTCCATCCTAAACAGAACAGCACAGCCCTAGTCCTCTAGCCACCTTGTTTCTGCTGGGGGGAAAGACCACGCTGCTTAACCCCCTCTCCCTAGCGCGCAGCCAACCCAATAAAGGACAAGGCCAAACACCTCCTGCCTCCACTGAAGCACTGCTGGCTTAAACAGGGACTGGAGAGGAGAAGGCGGCCGCCGGGAGCTGAGTGCAGGCCAAGCGGGGTGACACCACGCTGCTCACGCCAATGACCGCTCCACGGCCCTTGGGGCGGGGCGGGCTGCCCTACTAACTCTGGTAGCCCGGCCAGGTTCACTGAGCATGCGCACACGCACCGAACGCCCCTGCTTCCCTAGAAGTCGCGGTGGGAGCGGCTCGAT